AAAGAGGCTGCGAGCTATGGGACTCTTCAGCCTGGAGAAGCGGAGGCTTGGTGGCAGACTATAAGTACATAAGGGGTGTGCATCAGGGGCTCAGGGAACTTCTGTTCACCAGACCACCCCAAGGGATGACAAGGTCCAATGGTCACAGATTCCTGCAACACCATTTTAAGTTGGACATAAGGAAAAACTTCTTTACTGTCCAAGCCCCCAAGGCCTGGAACAGACTCCGCCCAGAGGTGGTGCAAGCACCTACTCTGGACACTTCCAAGAAACGTTTGGACACTTATCTTGTTGGAATCCTTTGACCCTAGCTGACTTCCTGCCCCTTGGGCAGGGGGCTAGATGATCTTGCAAGATCCCATCTAGCCCTAACATCTATGAAATCTATTAAATTTACGTTTGTTTAGTTACTGTGCAGCATGGGCGACTGGTGCCTCCTGAGTCTGGGGGGGCACCTGTAGAAGCTGACGGCAGCAGTGGGGACAGGGCTGGTGAGCAACTGCAGAAGCCGCTGGTGGCATCGGCAGCGGGGGACAGCCCTGTCAGAGGCAGCATGTGCTCCCCATGCTCCCCCTACCAGTTGCCTATGCTGTGCAGTAATGTACAGGTAGATGCCTTACTGTGGAATCAAACTGTGTGTGGACTGACTTTGGACTAACTTTAGTCCTAAGTTAGTCCACACACAGTGTTACCATGCTTTAATACTTGCATATGTAGACTACAGTGTAAGTGCAGTAAATGTACTGTGCAGTACATGCACATGTAGACAATACCCACTATGTATTTCTCATCTGGTTGTTGCAGCAAAGCTAAAGTAGGCTGCATGCTGCTGGCATGAACATTTTCATTCCAGAGTCAGTGGGTGGGAAGCAACCCTGGAATTCTTTATGGAACTTCAGCCCATAAGACTTTGCCAGAGGGGAAAACAGCACTATTTAAAAATCCTGAGGCATGAAGAACACCTTGAAATTTGTCCTTCAGAGGCAGGTCATATGGAAGAAACATGTCACCAACATGTTTACAAGGTCTGGGACTTCTAGGAATTGTGTGGGTGAATATGCCTGTTCCTAGAAACCATGGCAACAGGTTTATGAAGACCATATGACTGGAGCCCTGAGCTCAACACTGTGTCCCCTTCCCCTCTTAAGGAGCTGGCTTTGCCTTGGCATCCCTTCCCCTCTTCTGAGGCCCGGCCTGGGTCAGATTGTTGAGGGCAGAGTCCACATGCTACTGCAAGATGAAAAGTGCAGCTACTACACTACTCCAAGTGTATGAGTATTGGGTAGCTCCTGCTGATTGCAGGCCTGATCCTGCCCAGTGTGTGAGCACTTTGGGTCATACCCTGCACTACTGGGGTGCTCTGAGGATGCTCAGCAATTTCAGGAGCTGCTCTGAAGGTGATGGGGTGGGGAAGGCAGTAAGGACTTCCTGAACTATTGGATCACTGCTCTCTACTAGGGTATCTGTTAGGTCCTACACCTCATTCATCTGGCTGATGCTGCCCACAGCTTTATTGGAGCCAGTAAGCAGAGCTGTGTGAATCACTAATTATGAGCATGCTGTTTGAATGGAGAGAAAAAAATAATGAACAAACAGCCATGTTCTAAGGTGAACAAGAGGCAAAGGTTTTGGTCTAGTCACTGAAAAGGAAAGCTGAACGAACAGTTGTTCTGACTCAGATAAAACATTTCATTTGATCCCCCAAATGGTGCTTTGGTTGGATTTTTAACCTTTTTCTTCATTAAAAAAAAATTAAATTTTAGACAACTCTTGGTATGAAATGTGTCAAAATGAAATTTCCAATGGTTTCATTGTCAGAAATGTTGAAATTAAACTTTCTGAAATTATTGGGGCTTTTTGAAGGTAGGGAGCCAAATGATGTCATGAATCCAACACTGATTTGCAGTTCATTTCAGTCACCCCTGATATATGCCTCTTAGTGGGGAAAAGGTTTGGACTGTACTCTTACAGGGTTGGCAATGTCTTTGAGTAGAGCTCCAGAAACACCTTCCATTTCAACCTGTAACATGTTGGCGTGTCTGGGGTGGATGGCGGGGGAGCCACAAAGGGCCTGATCCTTGTTGTGGCCATGTAGCCCCAGCCCCTTCCCTGCAATCCACCCAAAGGCATACGTGCCAAGTAAAATGTCTTCGTGTACCACACTCTGGCACCCGTGCCAGGGGTTGCCTAGTGCCTACCCCTGTCTTACACTCAGCTCTATCAGCAGATGCCCTTGTGCTCTGCATTTACCCCACTTAGGAAGCGTTCTTTCCTCTGTTAGCAATTGCTCCTGCCTAGTATTTCCTGAGAAGCAGCTACTGCTGCATTTTGTCCTGAAGTTCAGCAAGCAACTCTTTCTGTACATAACACTGGAATCACCAGCTGTTAGAACTGAGTTGGAATTCACAGACCTAGTATTGCTGACCATCCAGGAATTTGGTATTGATTTCAGAGCTTCACTAGCATCTCTGCTCAGCAGCTCACACCCTGGCTCACTGCAAGCACAGGTATAGCAACACGGGCAGCAAAAGCCCTGCCTGGGAGCTATCTGAGTTTCCTACTCCTTGGAGTAACTATTTGACAGAGGAAACAAATTCCCTCTCAAGGCAGGAGACTGGGAGAATTCTACTTGGCAGAAACAACTCTGACTTTCTGCACATTGCTTCAACAACAGCCTGGATCTGATAAGGAAAGAATAAAGGCAGCTTCTTCCAACCACAGAGTTGCTGTGGAGCTGGGCTCTGTTACTGTCATGTTTTTATACGCACCCTCTGATTTTTGATGGCTTTGCTTGAGAAATCTGAAGGCTATGGTTAGCTGTCAGAGACAAAGATACCTTGAGTTAGTCTTAGCCATAGGGTTAGGGGTAGGGATAGCATTGAAGTTTGTTACAGTTATGGCTTATGTTGTGACAATGTTAAAATAACTCAGCCTCGGATTAGTGTCACTATCACTCCTGTAAATGACCTTAAAATATCCCACACTGGGCTTCCCAGAACAAAGGCATCTGACTCTATTGAGACCTTGCTACCTAAGAGACCTGCATTGTGTCTTGAGCCTAGCCCTGAGCAAAATGTAATACAGTACCTAGATCCTGCACCTCAGTGACAGCCCTCCAGGGCACTGTATACTCCCCGCGCCTTCACGCCTCACGTGAGTCATTTGCTGCTGGCACAGGGCAATAGCAAAATAGGACACCCTCCCCCCTACACACACACACACACACACACACACACACACACACAGGCTCAGATGGGCAGAACAGCAGAGCTGGGCACGTAAAAGGGGAGCAGGGATACTGAACATGCAGGGAGACACCCCTTGTGCACCCCCTGTGGGGAGGCACTATCTGAGTTATGGTCCAGGGCATTGCTAGCCTACAGCAGTGTCAGCCCAAAAGGCACAGGGATTGGGGCTTGGCAAGCTGAACCAGCACAATGAAGACTTAGCAGGTCACTTCATACTACTGTGTCCCCATTCCACCTCCCCACCACACAAAGCCTGGTCATCTCCAGCCTCAGTCAGACAGGACTCTCCCAGGGGCTGCTACCATCCCAGGAGGTAGCATGCCTGTCCCAGTGTGAAGGCAGGGCTGTATGGAGGGCAGGGTGGAGCATGACCCTGCTGCTCTGGAGTCTGGTGCCAGCTGCAGCTCCCTCCTGAGCGACTCCCTATGATCAGAAGAAAACAGAACTGGACCGGCATGCTGGGGTAGGCAGGGAGAGTGGGGAAAGCATGTACAATGGTTAGAACAGTAGTCTGGCACTCAGGAGGCCTGGGGGCAACTCCTTACTCCACTGTAGCCTCTGTGTGACCTGGAGGAGTCACGTAACCCTTTGGGCATCAGTTCCCATGTGTGAAATGGAGATAACAGCCTGGGGCAAAACCTGTAAAGACTGTGAGGTGAGGGGGCCCCTATACATAAATCAGACAGGCAGTGGTTCAGCGGGGCTTGAGATCAAATCCTAAGTGCCTCAACAGGGAGCGGCACAGGATGCCAAAGACCCCCTTCTTCCCTTCCCACAACACTCTCTGGGGCCAGTAGAGGTAATTTCTTTGTTGCTCTTTGTTCTACCGCCCTTCAGAAGTTCGAGTCCCTCTACCCCCTGTATTCCTTCCTCAGGTCCAGGAGGTCCCACAGTTGACTGGGACCTTGCTGGCAGCCGTCACCCAAGACCTCAATGCTGGGTTCCTTTTGTGGACAGCAAGTTCTGCTCCACTTCACCCTCATCGCATTAGCCAGCACACATGGGCATGATCGTTCCACTGCGGAGGGCATGGGGCGTTCCCTGGCTCCAGCAATCCCTGCTCCTTTGGCTGGGAGACAGAGAACATAGACAACTCTGTGTGCTGGGGGGTGAGACAGAGTCTCCCTGCCTGGCTCACCACATCTAGCAGTTGAAATGCCATCCCAATTTGGGATTTTGGCACTTCCCTGGCCAACCCAAGCAGCTCCTGAGCCCACAGGGAGGGGAGGGCACAGGGAAAGGGACAGCAGCTCTGTGGGCTGGCCCTTGGCCAGAGAGTGTGTGAAAGGGCCAGGGGGGTAGAAGGGAACAGTCTGGAGCTGCCCACTCAGTTTTCCTCCCACCCCAAAAGAGAGCACCTGAGCATCTGCTCAGTCACTTTTTAGTGCTGTTCTGGGGATAGATAAATTGACTGGAGAATAGACCAAGTGGGACCCAATACTGCTCTGGTTTTGCTTGCATGGTCTAATTGTAGCCAAGTT